TAAAATACAGATAAAGCACCATAAGTATTTGTACCAACTGTTCTCTAGCATGGTCAATGTAAGAGATGCATTTCACACCATCCAAAGTTTGGTCAAGTTACAAGTGATTTAGTGGGTATCTGCAAATAATTTTCAGTGGTTGGAAATTTCAAAGTGCATTCTAGTAATTGCTAGTCAATTCAATGTGCTCGGGTGTTAAGATAGAATTGATATATGAGGGTCAACATCTTTTTGTTCATGTCATCACTTTCTGAACATTGTACTACTTGTTTTATTGCAAATTGATCATTTTTTTTARWAGGCAAGAAACAATGTAGTTTGGAAGAACCAACAAATCTTTTGGTTTTATCAAACAACACATAAAACATCGCCAATATACATGCATATGCTTCTCGAAAAAGAACCAACAATGCACATGTACAGTAAGAACATCCAAAAAGAAACACTGWAGTTTGCAAGAACCAACAAATCTTTTGGCAAGAAACACTGTAGTTTGCAAGAACCAACTAATGCACATGTACAGTAAGAACATCCAAAAAGAAATGCAAAGAGTGTTTGAAGATTTCGATGAAGAAAATATCACTGTTAAATATCAAGAAAAGGAGTTCGATGAAGAAAATATCACTGTTAAATATGACAGGCAGTAGGTTGCACACAAAGAACATATCACTGTTAAAAAGTATCATCCAAACTCAATGAAGAAAATATGCAATAAAAAAACATAGATACCATAACCTAACTCCATTGCTTTCAAGAAATTTGACATCATCAAATGACCCTAATCTAACTCAAAATCAAGTACGATATTAAATAAAAATAATTACCTTTGAGAACCTCCAAAGAATCGCCCTGAATCGCTTGAGGTCAGTCCTGAATAGCTTGAATCGCTACACGCAAACTAACCAAATAAACCCTAACTTAACTAAATCAGATTACCCAACTCAAAATCAAGTAAGAAAATTCAAAATCAAATAAACCAAATAAACCCTAACCTCCAAATAAACCCTAACGCAATAAGAAAACTCACCAAATAAACCAAATAAACCCTAACCTAACTCAAAATCAAGTAAGAAAACTCACCTCCACAAAATCGGCTGAATCGTGTGGGATTTGAATCGCGTGACAGGAGCGTGAATCGTGCTTCATCATTTATACATTGTAAGTCGCCTGAATCGTTTTCTTGAAGAATGAATCGTCTTCTCTGAAATCGTGCGTGGAGAGAGCTTCATAGAGAGCGGGATASAGGTGCGTTGGAAAGAGGAGCATTTGGCCAGCCGGATATGTATGCTTTAAGGGTAGTACTAATGCATAATGAGGTTATACATTTTTAAGGCTTTAAGACTTTCTGCATTAAAGAGTAGTACATTGTGCATAATAAAGTGTTTTTAAGACTTTAAGCAAATTTGCTTTATAAAGTAGTATAGATATATTGATGATTGATTTTTTAACAAAGATTTTTTTGAAAAATATTGGTGGCTAAAATTATATTTAACTAAATCAATTTTTCAAATTTCAATTCATCATCTTCTTATATATTCATAATATATATATACACACACACATACAGGGTTGGATTAACATGAGACTAATGGTTTTTCGTAAGACCCATAAGACCAATTTATGTTCATTGATTAAATTTATAAACTAATGATCTAATGGTCTAAAGTTGCAAGATGACAATTTTGTAATTATTGAGAAGTCTCGTGGCGTTTATAAATGTTCAGATCTGACGATTATAAATCTAATCCAAGGATTGAGAATTGGTCTTACGGATCTCACGAAAAACCATTGGTCTCACATGATCCCAAGTCTATACATACATATATATATATACATACATATATATATATACATACATATATATATATACATATATATATATATATGTGTGTATGTATGTATATATATATGTGTGTATGTATGTATGTATGCATGTCTAGTTAAAACATAAGATCCATTCTTTTCTTGATAAAAGTTTGTATCTCCAATACCAATAGATAATCATAACTAGCAAAAGTTTTTTCAAAATTCATGTATTACCTTGAAAATAACATTCATTACAAACACATGAGAAACATATATAATCTTTAAATCCATAACATGAAATTTTAACAAAACAAATATCCACCCAAAAATAAACACAAATCCAAAAGACATGTTCAAAGCCATAATACGAAGTTTAACCAAAACACTTATCTTCTCAAAAATAAACTTAAATCCAAAAGATATGTTCGAATTCATAACACAAAGTTTAATCAAAACACATCCTTTCAAAAACAAAGTCTAACTCTAATCAAACCCATCAACTAAAATTAATTCACTGTTAGACCTAGATTAAATCATAATAAAAAATAATTAAAAAAATTGTACAAAATAAGAAAACTTTTAAATATTTAATTTTATATTAATATCGATATATTTTTTCAAAACTTATGGTATATTCAAATTTATTTTTAATTCAAAAGTAAAAACATTATCTTTATCAAAACCATATATACCGTATCATATATCAATAGAAATGAAAAATAAAATGAAACATTAGAACAAATATGTATCTTGCTACATTGCACAAATACCCTTCGAGTTTAAAATAATAAAATTCAAGAGATCTTTAATGAATCCAATTACTTTTAACCAAACACCATTTTAAGTGTTTATTTTGTTGCATTTTAATTCCAAAACTACATTATTTGTACTATATTATAAAATATTTGACAAAAACTCTTAAAAACCATTTTTTATACATGAAGTACTATTTATTAATGTATATTATTTATTCAAAATTACAAATAAATTAATACATAAATACAATTTATTAAAGCTTTATGTTTGAATTTATATAACAAATTACAAAATAGACATTCCATCACCGATCATCACCAATGCCAACCACCACCATCGACCACTAGCAATTTGGACTACCATCGACCATAGCAAATTTGAACCACCGTCGACAAACATTAATCTGAACCACAATCAACAAACATTAATCTGAACCACCGTCACCACCACCAATCTAAACCACTAATGACCAATATCAATTCCAATTCAAAGGCTATATCATGTAAACCAAATAAACAAATTCCAATTTCTTTTACAGATTTCATTCTAATATCTAATATAAATTCATTCCAATTTCTTTAAAAATCAAATTTATTAACAAATTATATGTCAACCAAAAACATTTTCTTAGCTTAGCATCCGTTTCTCAAAAAATATAAAAAATGCAGACAGGAATATTTACATGGCAGCTTGTTGATCAAGAAATTTTTATTAATGCTTCTAATTCTGTTTTCATGTTGCTTATGATTTTCATCCTTTATGTTAAACAGGTCCGTTTAGATATTGAGCTGAATGATGTTGGAAGACAGCAAGCAGCCAACTTCTTATGGTTTTTGCAATTACAAACAAAGCAAGATTTGACACAGATTGTCAATGGTGGATGTGATAACGCATATGTCTGAATCATTTGAAAGGTAATATGATGTAAACATTAAAGTTTTGGAGATATAATTTATGGAAATCCAAAAATTGTAACAAGGCATCAGTTCTCCAAGGTGATATAGCATCAATGAATTTCAGACGCAAATTACCCATTTGTTAATTGAGATTCATCATATGCCAAGACAAAAAATCAAAACACACAGAAAATAAATCATGAAGAAAACAATCCAACAACAAATCGAAAAACACAATAAAATTATGAAGAAATTTTCGGATTTAATCAATGAAAAGGTAAAAATAGAAGCGATCAGAACCTGTCGAGATTCAATGTTTAACATCAATCAAAATTTGTCAGTGGATTGACAGACTAATGAATTCTATCGTCACCTCGCCTCAATAGTTTCAATAATTACATAAATCAGTTTTATCTGAAACAAAAACAAAACAACATTCGAAATAGCTTACGATTTTTGGAAAGTTGAAACAATAGAGAATCGCTCAGAACTTCTTAGAGGTTTGCTACCATCAGCGACAGGATTAGATCCTGTTTCTGGAGCATTTACGTTTTCCTCATAGCGATATCAACTCAAGTTCAAACAACAGATCACAGATCTAAATTGAAATCAGAATTTGCAGCAAAAGTACGAATGAAACAACAGATCGAGAAAACCTTGATTTCTCGAATCAAATATGAACTGATAAACTCAAATCTGCAAAAAATAGAAATTGAAGCGAAACTCGGAGAATCATTTGCAGAAATCGTAGCCGAAGAAGATGAGTGTATTACAAGATGATGATGATGTATAAATAGATGGCCCTCAAAACCCTAAAGTCGCCGATGCAATTGCAAACATTAGTTGGGCCGCATTAGAGTCCACAGCCCATTCAAACTCCATAACTCAATGATCACTATGGATGGTATTTGCCCCAACTTGGTGGGAACCCGGTTCACCTTATTCGAATAAGGACGGGGATTTCCTGCTAAAACGGGTCCCGGATGGGGATCCATGGTGGACTCAAATCGAGGCCGCGGATGGGGGATGTTACTCAAACCGGGACAGGGATCCCCGGTAGAATCAAACTAAAGGATAATATTATGAGGTTTGATCGGGGATTGCTAGAGATTTGTAAGGAAACGGGGGGTGTTACTATAAACCGAGGTCGGGGATCAAAAAACACGCCCCATCTCCGCCCCGTTGCCATGCCTAATGATCACCAACGGGTTTAGAACATTTTCTCATTCTTTTTTTTTTCACAATCTCATTCTCAACTTATCAAATTAAAAACTTATGAGTTATTATTTTTTTACATTTTAATAGTTCTATTAAGAGGCAGTCTCTGAATATTAAGAGTTGAATCTTGTTTAACAAAAAAAAAAAATCTTTCTGTTAATGGTTCTTAAAACTCTCTAAATGATTTTGTATCTTGGCCTCCCTTAACCATTCAGCACCTTAATTTCATTGTAAATAAATATCAAACAATTATATTGCATTTTACACTGTATCATTAGAGCCTCTTAATCATTCTGTCAACTTAATTATTCTGCACCAAACCATTCAACAACTATCAACCAACCTCTTATATAAAAGTCCACAATGATAGTTTTTATAAGGTCCCTTGTATTTTCTCAACATTAAAAATTATATATGTAATTTAAATAATTATAAAGTCAATAAAATATATTAAAAAAAATTGTCACTTCACAAAAAACTTAATTGATAAGAACCAAAATTCTTATACAAGAATTCAAAGGGGTTGAAGTTCTTAAAGTATCTCCAACAACTATGTTATAATTTTTCTATAATAAAATATGAAAATTCAAAATCTTTAAAAAAATTTACATACAACTCCAATAGCTACTTTATTTTAGCAATTCTAGCATTAATTGTATTAATAAAATATTCAATACATTTAATAAAATATTATTTCTCTCTCGTACACATTTTATTTCAATAGCTTTAATTTGTCAGATATAATTAAAATACTATTTTTTTCTCTCTTCTATAGAGTTTTAGAGGTCTTTCTGAATCTAGAAATTTTCATAATCTCTCTCCTATTTTCTTCGTTTTAGCATAGATGATAACATAGTTGTTGGAGCAGCAAAAATGCTAAAATACGTCTTTTCTCTATTTTAGCATAAAGGGTAGCATAGCTGTCGAAGCAACAAAAATGTTAAAATACTCTTTTATCTATTTTAGCATAGTTGTTGGATATGCTCTTATAATAACTATCTACAATGGTAGTTCTTACAATTCAATTCACTTTTTGTTTATAAGAACCTTGCATTGAATATGTAAAAAAATTTCACATTGTGAAACGAATAAATATGAAACAACACACATTGTGAAACAAATATATGTTGATCGGTATATTAAATATTATACTTAGATGGAAAAAATCATGTCAGACAAAGCCTTAAGATATAATTTTTTCCATGGATCTCACAAATTTTGAAGTTCTCAAATGATTAAGCCCCATTATATCTAATAAGATAAGAGATTTCTCATCTGCAACTCAAAAGAAACAATCAAGTGGTACACATAAGAACTTCAAGTTTATTGTGTGCTAAACTCTGTATCAAGATAACCACAAGGGTGGTGCCTGATTGGTTTGAGCTTGGCTCCAATGGTTAAAAATACCAGGAGGTCCTAGGTTCCAATTCAAGGAGGAATAAAAATCTCCTGTGGCCACGGAGATTCAAATACGGTGACTCCGAGCTATCTGCAAAGCAAGTGGTCGCTCTGGGATTGGTCGGCTTCCATAGCGGATTGGATATCCAGGTTAATAAAAAAAAAACTTTGTATCAAGTTAATGAATGATCAATTTGTTTACTAGATAACGATAACTGACTAGTAATGAAATAGCACAACCAACCCATTATATATTCATTAGATTAGATGAACGACTGAGACTGATTTGTAGGGTTTTTACTAATATTATGGTTTGCAAAATAAACGCTCTATTATAAATATATATATATATATTCAGAACAAAATGTTGAATAATGTTATATTGGGATATTAATTAAAACTAGAAGCGTACTCGCGCAATGCAGCGAGATACATCATGATTTTAATATTTCATTTTATTCTTTATCTCAGTCGATGTTATAATATG